TTGTATTCTTCCCCCACATCCACCACAATTCAAAGCGCTCTCGCGATAGAGAGCTCTCTCTTTCTCTCGTGTTCTCAATATCTCTCTTTGTGTCCCTCACTCAAGTATTCGCGCCAGAGTGGGGAGAGGGTGTGTTAGTTATCTCGAGGGGCGAGAGGGAGATAAGACCGCGCGCTTCTTTGTTATGGGAGCAAGTGCGTGTGAGCGAGCGCGTTATACATATATATATCTGTGTGTTTGGATAGCGAGCGCGCGCGCGCTAAAACACAAACCCTCTCTGTGTGTATGTATAGAGAGCGCGCGCGCGCTATACACAGAGCATATCTGCGTGTTTGGGTGGCGAGCGCGCGCGCGCTATACATATATATATACGTGTGTTTGGATAGAGAGCGCGCGCTCGCGCTAACAAAAAACATATCTGTGTATTTGTGTAGAGAGCGCGCGCGCGCTGTACACAAATATATATGTGTATTTGTATAGAGAGCGCGAGCTCGCTATGACACAAAATCTCTCTGAGTGTTTGTGTTGCGAGCGCACGCGTGTATAAGAAAAAGATATATATATATATATATATATCTATATATATATATATATATATATATATATATATATATATATATATATATATATATATATATATATATATATATATCGAGTGCACATGTGAATAGCTGTCCTAACTTTCAACCAGCCCAAAAGGATATTGCGTTACGAAATGGCATGTAGTTTGCTCCATAATATATTAATTCATATACCTACTGCATTCTCTAAAATAAAATAAACAGTTTAGTGCATATAAAAATAATAATTTGAAATACCTAACTTTTGGCCTGTAAAAAAACAATTATTGTAAGGACTAGAAAAGTTGGTTGAACCAGGCAGCAGGTATAAAACTAATTTAACTACTATCTAATATAATTACAAAAGACAGCCCCTCATTCATCCTTCCTTCATGTGCAAATTCATGAATTACAAATAAAGACAATTCTCTTTTGTAATAAACTAACTAATAATCTCTGTCTGCATGCAGGCTCACATTTTAAGAATTCTTCTTCTGAATTACAAGGCCTAAATGTTTCAAATCCATCCCCCTCAAGTGAGAGAAGGGCATTTCGGACACTTCAATAAATAAATAAATAATAAATTAATGTATGCCGATTTCAGTTAATGAAAT